TCTGAAAACATGTGGGGTGTTCACATATGCATGTTATATCAGTCTGTTTGACTGTAGTTGAAGTATTGTCTGCTAAAGCTGTAGCCAGGGGAAATGACTAGACTAAAATGAAATAACCTCCCTTTCTCCCCAGCATGTTACATACAGTATACTTCAGTATGATGGGTCAAATCTGAGTGTAAAAGCTCTCTTTATTTTCATTGAGAAATTCCTCTCATTCCCAGCTGTCTTGGGCCCTCAGCTCATCTTTCACAAACAGCAGCTCATGAGAATCTCTCAGCACTCATGTTACATGTAGAACACTTCCCCATTTGTGTCTATATGTGTGTCTTTGTGTATTTCAGCTTGACGCCTCCTTTTCTGGGGAGCTTAACACCACTGATTGCACAGACGCCATCTTTACACAGCGCCTCTTTCTTTGCTGTCAGGTCATTGCCTCATTTCCTCTTTTGCCCTCCTGTTGGATTATGTGTAGCGCTATATAAAAAGAACAGGTTTAAAGGTACATCCCATGTGTACATTCAACATTCCTTGTTTTGAGCAACATTCACATGTATAAGAGGGATGTGGAAGTGGATTTATGTCAGTGATGGCAGACAGTCATTTAGGGTGTTTTGATTGGTGGGATTATAGTGACACGTCCACGATCTCAACATAATGATTCAAACATTGCTATCTTTTTTATTGCTCCTTTTTTTCCCTTTCCCTGGCATTTTCTTTACAGGGCTTTAAAAAAATTGTCAATACATATCTCTGAACCAAACCCTGAGATGAATCACAGCTTTTATTTTGAAGCAAAAGGAAATCAATTAAATAAATAAACAAGTAAAATTTAAAATAAAATGAGAATGAAACATAGAAGACAATGAACTTTATTTTTTTATTGCCTGACTGTTCTCTGTTTTTTTGCATTGAAAAACAAATAATTCAAACAAATTAAAGTACTGTCATTGAATTAACAATTGCCCATACAGCCATTATGAGTTGTAAATGAGCTATTCACATATGCACACCTGTTCACGGTGCAAAGGTACATTTCATCAAGCTGTTGGACATGAATATTAATGCTAGCACCATTAGCAGAGCTCACACAAGGTCAGGACTTGTGAGAGCAAACACATTTAAAGAAAAAAAATAAAAACATTTTAATGTATTAGTTAGGGCAATCTCTAATTTGACATCTTTGTTTCTTGCTTTGTGTGTTTAAGTGTATGTAAAGCATAAGGTGTTTATTAGAATGTGCGCATGTACAGTATTTATGAGCTACGTAATCTGCTAATAAGGTGCTAATGATAGAAATGACAGAGATGATGCAGTGCTGAGTTAGTGATGAAGATGTGTGTGTGGGTGTGTGACACACACATTCTCTCATCATCTCTCACACATCCAAAAAATCGCTGCTCATTCCACTGAATGCTACAGTGCTTTGGTTTGTACTGTAGAATAAACTAACTTAGTTTCTTGCTACCTAACAAGCCATTTAAGGCTCTGTGTTCTATTCAGTGCAGTTATCATAGCATAAATCAGTAATTTTTCTTGTTTTCTAGTAAATTATTACTTGAGAAATAAAAATTTTTTACTGACATTTTCAAATTAAAGCTGGTTTTCTCTGTTAGCTTTATTTGATGAGCATTCATCTTAATTGTGTGTTTATTCTGACAGATTTACTCGGACAGGAGTTCTCTTGGTCCTTTGGCAAATGCCTTGCCTCACAGTGTTGTACTATTTGTACTCTCTTTACACCCTGTCGGCCTTTAGTGGGAGTGAAATCCAATATCAACATACTGTGTGTGGGTCAGTCCAGTTTAAACCCAAACAGAAGATCCATCAGCTTTCCAGCTGCTGCCCCAGTGCAGATATCCAGCCCTGAACACATCCAGAGAAAGAGAGAAGGATTAGTTGTATAGACTGTGCCGTGGCGTGACAACCCTCTTGACGCCAACCTGTCTGCCGAGATGTGAAGAGGAAAGAGTAAGAGAGAAAGAATGGAGTGAGGGGTGAGGATAGAGGTGCGGAAAAGGAGTTGAAGAGGGGGGACGGAAAAGACATAGCTGTTGAAACTCATTTCACACTTACAATGAACAGATGAGAGAGAGAGAGAGAGAGAGAGAGAGAGAGAGAGCACAGACATACTCGCAGATGGAAGTGGGTTTCCAATGATAAACATTTTACTGAGAAATTTAAAGAGAAATATTTGTTCAAGACAAAATAACATCCCCCAGTTCACAAATAGATTCAAATTTGAATGTGCTTGCACTGCCAGATTGTGACTAACGTCTGGTCCATATTGCAACTTTATCTGGCCAAGAACCGCCCACACAGGTAGTGTCTGTCTGACCATCTATTGTGACCAAGCCAAGTTTTTTTTATTATATATGTTTAGGGTTAGTAAATCTGAAATGTATAGAAGCTTGAAAGATAATTGTGAATTATATGAAAAAGTCATATCTCACAAACATTAATATGACTTTTTCCCCTCACAATTACGACTTTACACATCACATGTCTTTATTTCTCATATCTGCAATTTTATATATCACAATGCGACTTCGGTTATTATTTTAATCTATATCTCACAAGGTATATTAAATAGAAGACAGTTATTTTAAATTGTAATAACATTTCACAATATTACTGTGTTTTTGATCAAGTAAATGTAGCCTTGGTGAGCATAAAAACAAATCATATCTCTCAAAACATAAAATCTTACTCAACCCAGACTTTTGAATTAAATGATAGTGTATATATTTTTTTATCTTTAAGAAATGTGATATAACACTGTATCACTGATATCTTCTGGAGGAGTGTCAAGACTTATTCAAATCTTTGACACCATGAATCTTGTAAACTTGGTCAAATCCAGTCACTAATTGTTGCTCAGAAATGCTCTTTGTTGCAGCCTGGGAACTTGTAAACACAACTTTGCTTCCTGGCAGATTGATAAAAATCTATGAACTTTGATTCCCAGAAATCGCATAAATCAGATTGTATTATTTTTTTTCTGAAAGCTCTTGCCATTTTTGTGTTCTCAGAGAGTTATTAAGCAGTCCATGTGCCGTCTGAGGCTGAGACAAAGTTTTTACTTTTTTTTACAATCTTAATCACTGATACAGAAATGGGTGTTTTTTTTGTTTTTTTTTGTCTATCTGGGGGTTATGGGTATTATTTCGGTGTCTGAAAGATGCTGAATCCTCCTTCCTGCTTGAACTTCACATTTGCCCTGACCTCTGTAGATCGAAGCCTGGACTCCACATGATTCCAAACAGAAGCATATCTTTGCCATTCATGTACAGATGGCAAATGAAGCTCTCCTACCTCTTCAAAGCATTCTCCATATACCTCTTTTCTTTAAAAGCCTCTGGTGAGTATTTTTTCTGCTCAGGCTCTCATTCTAACCCCCTACTTTCTCTCTCTTCTCCTGCTCTGGTGAAAATAGATTGACAGAGATGCTGAGTGTGAGAGAGAGAAAGCAAAGGATGCCTGAAGGCAGGATTAACAGACAGAGTTGATTTTATTTCCCTGTGTTTGAGGGCCGTACTGATGTGTGTATGAAGCAGTGCCTGCAGTGCGGCTGGCAGCGTTCTCTGGTGTGGCCCATGAGCCGAGCCACTTGAGCATGTTAGTACAGAATATGTGCAGCATATGGGATACAACTATACAGATCCCCAGCAGACAGTCAGTCACACCTTGAAAATGAGGGTCTGGGGTCCGAAGAGCATAAGGCGGTCTGTTACATCTATTTTCAGACTATATATGGTTTGTCTAGTCAACAGGTGGGCCACATGCAGCCTTAAAGGGATAGTTCCCCCCCCCAAAAAAAAATTTCTGTCAATATTTACTCGCCCCCAAGTTTTCCCAAACCTGTTAACAAAAAAATAAAAATAACAAAAAATCCTAATGACTCAAATGTTTGAATTATAGTATATATTCATTATAATTAAACTCATACAAGTTGTGTGAAAAAATTGTCAGTGTCATTATCATTCAATTGACAATGTGAAAATGAACTATATAGCGTAAGAGTGGATAAATAAAACTGCCATTTTGCAACAAAGATTTGATTTTAGCTAAGAATCTAATTATAAAAGACAAAAATATTGTTGTTGCTGCCAGATTTGATAGGTTTCACATTCACATAGCTTTTCCCATTCAAGTAGACAGAAGCTGCACTAGCTGACTAGTAAACAGCTGCCCGGAGGCATAACTAAGAAGCTTCTTAAAAAGGCCTGTTTGTGTACAAATGAGCATACTAACACACCACAAGACCTTTTTTGTACTAATATTTGATTGACTGGCTGTGGGTTTTGAGACCTGTGTAAGGGGTTCATGTTCGGAGAACATGGAAACGATTCACAAGTCAAGAGATAAAGACAGAGAGATGAAGACATGCAGTTACACAGATTTTAGACAGACAACACACACTCACACATGCTAGAAGAGAGAGACTTCCTACTTACCTGCTCTCTTTTCATCTGCCTGTCATCCTTTCCTTTAATGAGCAGGCAGGAGAGACAGAGATATGTGTGTGTGTGTGTGTGTGTGTGTGTGTGTGTGTGTGTGTGTGTGTGTGTGTGCAGACTTCTGATGTAATTGGGCCTGTGACCTCAGAAGGCAGTTTGTTTGGTAGGTGGCGGGCTTGAGTGTTTATGAGGAGTCTGTGTGTATGTGTGATGGTGGAGGAGTTTGAACGTATTGATTTGTGTGTGTGTGCTGTAGGTTACCTAAGTGATTGATGGGTTTCTCTAATGTCATGACAGAGTGCGGCAGAGATATGCACAAGAACATCCGGCAAACACACACATTCCTCCTACTGATGAATTATTTGAGATTTGTTCCGTGTATCTGAGGTACACACACTCATACTGAATATCTTAAACAGTCATCTGAGCTGCTTCATTCTGAAGATCCGTGTGTGTGCGTCTTACTTATTAGGGCTTTTTAACTTTTAAACATCACAAAGTATGCTAATGTGATGCAATGTGTGTGTCTGTTGTGTGCAGAAAACTCAGGTGACGGTATTGACTACAGCCAGCAGAAGAGGGAGAACATCGGAGACCTGATCCAGGAGACACTTGAGGTGTTTGAACGCTACGGGGGCGAGGACGCCTTCATCAACATCAAATACATGGTGCCCACCTACGAGTCCTGCCTTCTCAACTGAATGGAATTGAGAACTCACTCACAAACACACTCTTATACAAACATGTAAACACACCCACCTTATGCTACAAACCTAATTTCTGACTTTATTAAATGTATCAGCTGTATGTATCAGAGAAGACACTCACACACAGTTTCCTGTGAAGATAAACAGACACAGGGAGCTCAGGGTTCAATAAATCTCTTGGTTGCAACTAACCTGCATTTCATTTTCACTCTATAAGGAATTATCTAAAGAGAAATGCAGAAAATGCACACACATCCAATCCAAGCTGGCCACAGGTACAGGAAACAATGTTTTGAATGGAACAAACTTGAATGGTTAATTTTTTACAACATGATGATCTAGATTTTGAAGCATTAATATTAATGAGTATTAATAAGAATACATACAGGTGTGTGTGTGTGTGTGTGTGTGTGTGTGTGTGTGTATATAAAATCTGATCACTTAATTTCGACCACACAAAACATTTAATTGTCCAAAAGCTTCATCTTGTCACAGAATCTCTTCTAATCATACCAATAGTTTTCAGAAGCTCACTGATCTATAGCTCTCTTTCCTGATATAATGAACATTTCCTTGCTTTTTCTTCCAATTTTCTTAGTGGTTCCTAGGAAGACAAAAAAGGAATTTTGAGACTCCCCCTCTGGCTGTTCACTCGCCTTCCAACATTCACCACCTGAAATCTCTCTTCTTTTTACTTCACCTACCAACTTTTATCTTTCAGCAAATCAGATTGATCATCACTTAATTAATATTCATAAGCCATGGTTTGTGTGCTGAGCCACTGACAGAAAGTAAACCAATTTATATGAGAACTACAAAAGAGAATAAAGTCATATTTGCCAAAAATATGCAATTTTATATTCATAGCCAACAATACTTTTTCTAATTAATAAACCTCATTGGCAGACACACTAGCGACTGACATTACTAGGAAGTTTAGTTAGTATGCTTTCAAAATATCTCATAAGAGTGTATCCGTGGCAACTAGGCATTTTATAGGTTTTGAGCTTTTTAATATGCCTCCCCACTTTTCAGATAATTTCAACACCCCTGCCTCCTGCTTTCTTTATCTCCTTCTAGCTTTCTTTATCTCTGTCTATTCCGGTCAGCTCTTTGTTTGATATTTCTATTTTATATTTAAATGTTTTAAGTCTTTTTTTTTTCCGCATAAATCTTTTCATCACGATTTGTCTTTTAATACATGTGTCGTGATATTAAAGCACTTTTAGACCTTACGGTCTTAGCTATAAAGGTGATGATTCCCAAGGAACCATACTTATATACACACATGCCCAAATTTAGACGGAAAGCACACTGGAATGCACCTGAAGGGACATAGAGAGTGCACAAAATAACACATGACAGATCGCAATTATTCAGATAGCAACGTTATGTGCTTTTGAAAGCCTGAACCTATATGAGCTGCAGGCTGTGTGCCAGAACACAATGTCTGAATGAAACGCTCATTTATCAGAGCGCGTACACATGCACACACTCAGTCGGGGGCTTCCCTCATGCTTAACAGCCTCTATCTTTTCCTACCTGTGAAATCAGATGCTGCAAGTGTGTGTTGGTTTATTTCACTTCACCAAATAGTGATTTTATAGCATATAATGTCCTCTGAGTCTTTTCACTTAATGCTTTTACAATCAGATTAAGCAGCTATCTGTAGAACTCCTTTTTGGATTATTAGAAGGGATCTGAGCTGTTCTTTGGACATCAGGCCCCCATAATCACCCCATATGTTACTTTCTAGTGGATCAAGCTGCCATATAACATGAAGGATGTGCGGTATTTTGCCAAAGTATTTCCGTTAGCAGCTACTAGGGGGAAAAAAGGTTGGTCTTTTTTCTTTTTTTCAAGTGATTCCCATGAGCTAATGTTTACAGTGAGCTGAGATTTCTGGAACATTTGAACTCAGTTCAATCTGGATTTGATCGCACCGCCTGTAAATTACAGCTCTGAACAGACACAAGGGGGAATTGAGATGGGATTTGCCCTCAAATCAGTTTTACTGCAACAATCGGGGTCAATAAAGAGACCTGGAGACTCAGCTCAAGTCCTAAAATCTGAGATGGTGAGAGGAATAGTTTCAGTCATCATTTACTCACTCTTATTCTCTCAAACTTGTAAGACTTTCTATCTTCTGCGGAACACAAAAGATATTTTAAGAATGTGGGAACTCTTTTTTTGCCCTTACAATGAAAGTCAATGGAGTCCAAAACAACTTTTATTGAACAGACAGAATGTACTGAGACATATTTGTTTCGAAGAAGAAAGGCTTGGAACAGCACGAGGGAAAATTTTTGGATCAACTGTTCCTTTATGTCTGCTTTCATTTGCCTGATTTGTCTCCGTTCTAATTGACTCTCAGGTGAATCGATGAATGAAATTGGTATAAAACAGGGATGGAGACACTGATGCGAGAGCAGAGGGAAGGAAAAACATTAGAGTGTAAGTATGCCAGATTGTTAGGAGCAACAGTGCAGAGGGGAGGGAGGGAGGGAAAGCGAAAGGAGCAGCAGGAATAAATAGCCCTCTGGGATCTATTCTTCTTGTTCAGCGCATCTGCCAGGGGCCGCATGAAACCCAACGCCAGCCAGTGAGCATGTGCAAAGCCCTGAGCCCAATGGAGATTTATTTCGGAGTGACTTCATGCTTCAGGTCTCACCCACACCTCTCAACCCTAGACCATCAATCCACAGAACGGACTGGAGCTCTGATGTTTATTCCAAAATTTCTCTCGAAAAGGTCATTGATTTGGACTCAGAGCTGTGGTGAAAGAAACAAAAACACGTTTCAAAATGTAACAACTTGCTCCACCCCTGAAATGAAATCAATCAATCACCTGGATCCATTCTGATACTAAACGACCACTTTACACCATCCAATCATTTCCCTGTGGACTTAATCAAGTACCGCCCTATTTTTATCCTAAAGTCTTGATTCGCTAATAATACATCAGATTATTGCAGTAAAATGGATTGTGATTGTGTGCTATTCTGAACTTCTGTTACATCTTGTCTTTCTCCAAGCAGCAGAATTGAGCTGTTTCGTTGAGCAGTCTTTTCTAATATCGGACTGTTTTAAACGTGAGTTTCTTTAAAGTGGTGCTGTTGTATAGCGTGTGAGCGCGTGGTGTGTTTTGAAGAAGGCTCACAGGAGGCCGATGGTTTTTCGGCAGGAGGCTGGAGAGATCTTCCTCTCTCTCGAGCTCTGAATCGACGGGGTTCTGCTGTCTGATCCTCGCTCCACCTCTACCTCAGCCAGACGCTCTTATCAGACGCAAACACATCTGCCGTTGCTCTGCACACACACAAATGCCTGCACAACCACCATCCATATCCTTTGGACCACCATGAGAATCAATCAAACACATATAAACAAACGCATTCACCTGGAAATTAAAAAATGTAGTTTTAAAACCCACATGTACAGCAGTTCTATGAGGTCCTTTGAATTGTATTGCATTTTAATTACTTTGATTAATCACTTCCTTAACCTCAAATATCAATTCTGCATCAAAATAAATGTTGACATATCATTTTTTTGTGATTTTACTTATATTTTTCATGTATATACAACTTTACTGATATAATCTTAAAAAAACGCCTCATTAAAAGGATGAAATATTTCTTATGATAATAAATATTTGAAATAATTTTAACACAATGTCATGAATATAGTGAAAACATTAAAGTTGAAAGATTTTTGGAAAAAAGCAAACATGAATGTCCACCCATAAACCTAGCCCTCAGTGAAGCATAAGGAGATCGTATGAAAACCTATTACTAAAATCTTACAAATGAATTTGAATTCACCAACAATTTGCCAAAATGTAAAATAGTTGTGAATTCCCCTTGAGAGTGAGTATTTAAAAAAAAAAGTTAAACATTATTTATTAATTAATAATATATTAAATGGTCAAGATTACACCAAATTTACTTTGTGTATGTTTTGTCAAACAAAACTGTTTACCTTGAAAAATATATATTTTAAAACCTTTTGTTAAACATTCTTATACTCGATGACTACTCCACATGACATTTTTAGAGCCATTAAATTGAAAATGTTTCTTGAAAATGTTATAAATGTTTTTCAAAACTAAATGGAACAAGCATGACTAGAAAGTGTATATTTCTAGGATCTTAACAATATATTTTATACTAGATTTTTTCTTTGTCTTTACCATGAACATTCTTATGTGTCATTGACTCAAGTATGTCTTGGAGAAACTGTGTGTCGGCACGTGTGGCATAAAGGGACCGTGGACCCCGAGTGAGTGATGAAGGACTGTGTGTTTGCTGTAATCTTCACTGCAGACCCCTGGGGAGCCCCGAATGACGTGGTGGCCCACGGTGAGATTATACTGCACTACGCTGGAATGGGTGGAGAGAACAGGATCCATCAGTACTGTCAGCACCCAGTCCAACAAACAACACCCAACATCTGACCGGCACATACCATATTTTGTGTATTTTACAGTCATCAGAATGTATTAGGTATATACATGCTTTTACTCTCACCCCCATAAATACTCAATGACACACACACACACTCCCTTGCCATTTACATTGAGAATGTGCCACTCTTCACCTCACCTTAACAATGTGTGATTTCTCTCTCTCTGGATCTCACAATTGACCCAGATTTCACTCTCTGGTGTTCCTGCACCCACACATAATCGCTTTTGTTTTATGCTTTTGTATTATTTTCATACTCAAAGCCTTTAAGCTTTCTTCAGACAAAATAACACGGGAACGTGTGTGCTTTGAAAGCTCACGTTATATTCCAGACACAGTCATGCCACCTACTGCTTTTCTAATCAGCTGCCGGTGCTGACCACGGGATCATGACTGATGTCCCATCTCCCTCCCGTCTCTGCTTCCTGCTGCTTCACAACCACCTGATTTCATATTCACTTTTTATCTAAAGCGTCATTAATTGGATTAATTGTAGAATGAAACCCGTGTTATTTAATAGAGGAGGAAAATACAGGGTTTGGGTGGGGATTAATATCTCACGCTACAGAACACACACACACACACACACACTCACTAGCAGCACACAGACATGTGTGGCCTAATCCCAGACGCAGTAGTAAAATGAAAATGTATGTGGCAGTGTTGATAAGAGCAAAGGATTCTTATCTGAGTCCAAGATAAATGCTGAATCTTTTGTGCTGCCTTTAAAAACTGGTATTTTTTTTCAGTCTGTTATGCTAAGAAGGTGATGCAGCTGAAAAATGAAATTAAAGAAAGTAAAGATGATGAGACGTGAATATAGGAGGATGCATAGTGAATCATATGAATATATTTGTATGGAACAAACGAGGAGGTCTGTAATACTTGGATCATTGGCATTTATTTCAAAATTCAACATGCATTCAGTATTTTGCTCATGTGCATCCAGTTCTGGACATTATTTGGAGCCAGTCACTCTGGAACCGTGAAATACACTCTCCGAAAAAAGGTACAAAAGTCACTGTACAAAAGTCTTTGTACCTTATTTACCACTAACAGATACATCTGAGTACCTAAATGGCACATATTGGAACCCTTTGAAAGGGTTCTGCCCCAGTGACACCTTATACTTTTTTTTCTGAGAGTGTATCATGACATATCTCCTCTTCTGAATTGTAAAAATCTGGTATTATTGACTGCTGTGTGTCTCTAGTTGAAGGAATGTTTCCTGTGTCCTGTTATCTTCATTGTGGATAGCAAACAAAGGATCTGGAGAAGGTCAGCTGAGCATGAAGTCACAAGCTGATTTAGCATCTGTTCAAATGTGTCTTTCATACGGAGGAATGTGAAACTGTGATTGAAGATTTGATTTTATATACATTTTTATCTCTCTCTTTATTGTGAGATGCTTGATAAGTAGTCAAGATTGGTCAAAAGAACCAAGCTACTGTCTAAACAACTGAAGTTAACTTTTACATCACATGACCTTTCTACTGGATTGATCTACATTGTGAAATAAAAAAAACCCATAAAAACTATAATAAAATAAATCCATAACTGTAGAAAACATACAAATGTGAGTTATTATTCACTGATAATATACCATGTTGTCTTTCACAGAAGAAATTAATATACTGTAGCGTTGAAATAGCATAAAGGTGAGTAAACTATGAAAAAAATATAAATTTTTGCAAGAACTAGTCCTTCAACCTTGAACAATGGATTAATTGGTTAATTCATTTAATACACAAATACTCCTAATTTATGTTAATGAAAAAAAGTGTTTGAAAACAAGCAGCTTTGTCAGAAACGCATAAGAAATACCAAAAATAACACCAGTCACAAAGGTTGAGAACCACTGTTCTAGAATAACATGTAAATGTTATCATGCTTCGTGTATTTCGTGTATTTCATTGTATTTTTAATAACGCCAACAAGATTTTTATATTTTAAAATATAGAACAAATATAAAATATCATGTAAAATATATTTACATATTTCCAGAAACATACTTTACAACGATCGGTAAGTTAATGAGTTGCACGCCGACACATTTTGGAACGCAACGTACGTGCGTTACGTATATTCCTGTCTTGAAAATCACATTACACGGCAACACCGACTGTGCAAATCAAAAACACACATAAAACGATTCAATCATAAAAAAGCAACACACCATGAAATGCCAAGCCCTAACAAAACACACAAGACAAACACTTGTTGTCACAGACGTGTTGTCACAATGTTTCCCAATATATCATCCCCGCCGGTGACTCTTAGCGTTCACGAGCCTGCATGCTATTGGCTCTGATCTCTGCCCATCATCTCAGGCGCTGATTCATGGATTCATGGTGAAAGCACTAGCCCCGCCTCACAAAACCTAAGCGCTGATTGGCCACCCGGCGCGTCCGCGTCTCGCATGCAGCCAATGCGCTGGAGACGGGTCGGGCGCTCTCGGAGGTTCCTCAGAGAAAGCACACTGGTGGCAGTACGGAGCGGTAGCGCGAGCTCAGTACAACGAAGAGAACCCAACGAGTCCACATCGCGCGACTTTAGCGAAGGGAGAGAAAGAAAGAAAGAGAGTGAGAGAGAGAGAAAGAAAGAAAGCAAGCAAGCCTGCATCTTAAAACCAGCCGTTATATCTGGAGAGGGTCGCCGCAGCCTGGAGGGGGAACGAGGGATTTGATCAGCACCGTTATTTTTCTTTCTTTTTCTTTTTTTTTCTGGAGAAGGATTGTGAGCTTTTGTGTGCAAAAATGATGGTCGGGGAGATAGAGGTGAAGGAGAGACCGAGGCCGAGTCCCGACTATCTCATGCAGTTATTGAACGAGAAGAAGCTCATGACTAGTTTACCGAACCTGTGCGGGATCTTCACACACCTGGAGAGACTCTTGGACGAAGGTACGTTTGTGTAAACCTGAACCACGAGTGTGTATGTGGTGTTTTGCAACTTCCCAAAACTATCTGTTGTCAGCGAAGGAGACTCAAAATGACGGTTAAGGTTTCTTTTTTAAAGTAGACTTGCGTTTTGGGGTCTGGTTCTAAACGGTTAAACCGCTTTGTACCGTATTTTACCGTTAGAATTTCAAAGTATTTTTCGCGTGCGAGGGTCGCTAGCGCTGTTAGCAGGCTGCTAAATCCACAACTTTTACACGTCGTCATATTTACTAACTTTCACTTATTTACCATCAAATGTAAGATCTTTTACGAGTTTATTGTTTCTCTAAATGTTTATTTTGTGTTGTAAACGACATATTACTAGGCGTTTCAACGGTTCCTAACTTTTTATGGGGTGTGAGTGGCGTTAGCCGAAGTTAACGTTCGTAAGTTAGCTGCACAGAAGAAACTTCACGTTTATTTTTCGATTGAAATCGCATTATTACATGTTTATTTATTCGGGTATGAATTTTTTTTATATCTGTACTCGACACAAAGGATTTCATGAGGACAATTAGCTGTTTGTTTGCAGATTAAGATTTTTTTCCCCTGAGGCGTGCGGTTGAGTTTTGCATAAATGCTCCCTATGGAGAGAGGGTGAAAGAGAAACGCATAAATGCCTATACACAAATGTGTCAATAGTACATCATAAACCACTGTTTTTAATCCCAGATATTTTCTTTTGCATATAAAGCTTAATTTTTACCACACAACGCGAGAGAGGGAGTAAGAGTCTGCGTGACTGATATGCAGCAGGTTTCTCTCTTAATGCAGTTTGAGTGTCTGCACCGTCACTCACGCGCTGTTCGTGTCTGAAATGCATGTAGTTTATAGTAAGGCATTCATCTCTTTCTGTTCCGATCCGGAGAGGTTTGAATCCCCCCCCTCACACACACACATCCAGTATCTGTCTGTATTAGTTTCATGAAGTGCACGAATGCTCGTGCTATTGACATGCAAACACGCGGCTCTGTTTATCTTGTAACAAAAAGGACGAGCAGTCGCAAAATCTGCCGCAATGTTATCCAATATCAGCTTTGTTTGCGCTCGTATTCTCTCAGCTTGTTGCAGAATCACCCTGTGCGTCACCGGATAAACTAGTTTGGTTTGACTGATCACAAGTCCACATTCCGACACTCAACCCCAGGAACCTCATTTTAGATTGGGAGTTTGGTTTTGACTTTGTCCAGACGCACAGCCCAACTTCTGCCAAGTTCCCGACTGGACTTGACTTTTCTTTTTCTTATGTTCAATATGGATGCACATTTTTTAAAAATTGTTTAATTATAGGATAAAACACGTTTTAAAGGGATAGTTCTGAAAATGAAAATTCTGTAATTTATTCAATGAAGAATGTTGTTAACCAAACTGTGAAGTGACATGAAGTGACATGTGGCCAAGTATGGTGACCCATACTAGGAATTAGTGCTCTCCATTTAACCCATCCAAAGTGCGCACACACACAGCAGTGAACACACACACACCGTGAACACACACCCGGAGCAGTGGGCAGCCATTTATGCTGCGGCGCCCGGGGAGCAGTTGGGGGTTCGGTGCCTTGCTCCAGGGCACCTCAGTCGTGGTATTGAAGGCGGAAGAGAGCACTGTACATTCACTCCCCCCACCTACAATCCCTGCCGGACCGGAGACTCGAACTCGCAACCTTTGGGTTACGAGTCCGACTCTCTAACCATTAGGCCACGACTTCCCCATAATGAAGACTTTAATTATATGAAAAAAAAACAACAGCACATTTTTCAAAATAGGCTCTTTTGTGTTCCACAATAGCAAGTCTAGAATAGTTTTGGAAAGACACGGGGGTGAAAAAATGTCATTAAATTTTTTGCTAGAACTATCCCTTAAATATTTTAGTATGTAGACCGTGATGAGCTACCAAGCTATAAAAGTTCTTACATCTCCAGTAGGACCCTTTCCTCTCTTTAAATACGTAAATGGCACAAATGTGTTTCCTTAAGAGGTCTTCTTGGTCCTTTAGCATCTCCATGAGAGAATTCTCATGAAGATGTGTGCTCTGACACCGAACAGTGAGGTGTTAGTTCCTCCTGCAGTGATACAGCCTCATGTTTGTGTATCTCTGGACTCATTCTGCTCTGTTTACCTGAACTTTGCTCTTCTCTTGCTGTAATCAGTTCTCCTCAATCCACTCAAAAATGAGCTGAAACCGCAGAGGACAACTTCATCCTTCCTTTTTTTTCCTCTGACACGCATTTCTTTGAACACACACATGGATTGGACTAGGTGTAAAGTCTCTGCTACGCTCAGCTAAATTTGCATACTGATTTGGCTATGCAAATGAGTAGCTCAGGGTGATGTGGGCCAGTCGTGTATTTGTAACGGTAAATACTCAGACTTAATGTGTAGGGAGGGAAATTTGTACAGCTACACACAGCGTCTGCTATCTCTCCTGACCTCTGTTTTACATCAGACTGATATGGGGTTTTAAATGCCTGATACTAATGTCTAGACAGCAGCGTGATATAATTAAATGAGTAATATTTATTAAAATTCGAAAAAATGTTTGAGGATGTAAGCTGTGCAATATTGATTGGCAAAGCTGGTGGTAGATTGTGGCGCTGAACAATTTCTTCTGTTAATCGGACAACGTTATTGATGTGAATAATCACAAAATGGACAAATTGGCTGATGTGTTGGTCTGTCACGAGTTTTAGAAAGGACATGTGCTCCATCTTGACTGTGTATTGCACTGATCTAAGATCAGGTTTCACTCCAGATCTGTGCTGTCACAGGTGAACAAGGGTGAGAATGCAGATTAGCTGAAAAAGGCATTAGCAGAGATTGAACTGAGAAGGTTAGACAGATGATAGTATTTTAGGTACTTCATTAAGCATTACTGTTATTATTGTGGTGTGTTCAATTATGCGTAAATAAACCACAGACTTGAAAGCTTTTCAATGCAGCTTCACACATTTTCTGCTGGATGAAAGAAAGACAATGTGTGAAGGTTTGGAGGTGAAATGTTTCTCTGAAATGGCTTTCTCAGTTGTCGTCTTGTAAGAGTTCTCATGACAGCTGTGCAGAAACGCTCATAACTCGAATGGATTGTGTGTGTTTGCAGCTGTTGTCATGGCAAAGGAAAACCAACACCCTTATGTCTCCCTCGTCACCCTTTCTGTTCCCCACACAAGACAACTGCTCTCCCTCCCTCTCTCCTCACCGTTTGAGTATGTGTGTCAGGCTGACGAGAGAAAGACAGGTTTGCAGTGTGCTTGTGATCTTCAGAGGTGACCCTGAGGGTGTTTTTAGAGCTGTCTTTGATAAGTTAGTGGCAGCTGAGTCCAGTGTCAGAACTCAATGCAGGCGGTGTTCAGAAATGGACACAGCGATGGAAGGAAAGAGTCAAGGTTAAAGATCTTGATTTTTTTTCACGGTCATACAGGTTGTCAGGAAATTATTCTGGCTTGAAATGGTTTGTGTTTTCTGTGGCTCTGACAAATATGTGCTGAATTTTCAGCAGCCATTACTCCTGTCTTCAGTGTCACACGATCCTTCAGAAATCATTCTAATATGCTGATTTGGTGCTCAAGAAACATTTCTTAATGTTGTAAACTTTAAAATTGTAAAACATTTTGCATAAATCATGATGCATTTTTTTTCTGAATGAATGAAATTCAACAGAACAGCATTTATTTAAAATAAAAAATATTTTGTAACATTATATATGTCTTTACTGTTACTTTTGGTACATTAATGCATTTTTCATTAGTTTAGCTGCATTTATGATACAGTCCTCTGGAATAAATATAAATCTTGATTCTGATTGGTCAGTGTAAAAACTGTACAAGTACCAATACCCCACTTCATCAATGATCAATTTCTTCATTAAATACAGTACTCTAAAAGTACAGTAATTTAGATGCAGCATTCGTATTTGAGGTCTTTCCAGGTGCTAACAGGAAGTGATTCTTATAGGCTGGGACCTGTGGGACCTCTTACAGCATCTAGTTTAATTAGCTAGCTAGATCCATTAGCCTAGGTTCTCTGCTCGAGCCAGGGTTCAGTAGATTGAATGTGCAGATAATTTTATTCTCTCTATCTTTGTTTCTCTCTCTTTTTCTGTGTCCTGCTGGGTGGTGATAAATTGGATTGCAGGAAGAGGTTGACAGGGTTAGCGAAGGGAATAGAGGAGTCTCACTGGTGTGTGTGTGTGTGTGTGTGAGAACTGGCCCCTGACTCTCAGCCCTTGTGTGGCCCCTGATAAAGTCATGTCTCTGTGTGTCAGGCGATGCCCCTTTATCAGGGGGGTCTCTCTGACAAGCACAGGGGTTTCTTATCAGTCTGCCCTGCCAGCACCACTGTCTGCCGGACACCGCACAGACACCAGCACACACCCTTCAACAACTTTTCCATCCATGTACAGTGAAGAATTTTTGTTGGTTCAGTTGTAGCTCTCGTTGAATCAGATCACAACTTCTGTTCTGAATATCAAGCTGATGCAATGATTCAAACACGGCCACTAACTTCCTAACTACACTCATGCTCATGTGCTTCCCGTAGGAGGGCTTTCATGGGCCAACTCGCACAGGAGCAGGCTGATTCAGTGTTTTTGAAAGGAGGAGGAGTCCTTTTCATAAGAACAGAAAAACAATTTCTTAACAAAAAGTCATGCTTTATAGCATGAGGCAGCGTGTGTGTCTGTAGTTGTATTGTGGTTAGGAGCGGTTGGTCTTTAGCCTCTCTCTCTCTCTCATTCCGTAGTGGGGGGAAGGGCCTCACCCTTTCACATTCCACAACTGCTTGAAATATTTCCACACCCCTTCACACTCCTCTTTCATGCCATTTCTGTGCTGTTTTTCTCTGTTTTACAACCAGCAGCTTGGAGACACTGTGTTTGTCTTTGCATTTTCCTCTCTCTAACTGAGCAACAGAGGAATTGTTTGGCTAAATCAGACAGTATTCCTCAGTGCTCCTCTACACATTCATTA